ACCTCGTAATCACTCCATATGTTTCAAATTCCAGTTTAAAAGTGCCTGCCAAAAAACTTGCTCGTACCATATCGGATTTTATTACTTCGCTTTCGAAAAATTACTAAACAGCTAACAAACGGCTTTTCAAATCTTTGATCTCCTAGCCATACTTTATCGATTGAATCCGACTGCAGTACCCCTTTCAGACCACCAAGATTTATTTTCTCCGAAGTACAGTAGTGCCACCCGGACCACCCGAATGAAGTCTTGTAGACCAAAACAAAACACGATTACGCGCACACAATAGCTGATGCCACTAACGTGCTTTAATAGTGCTATGCGTTAATGTCATTAAGTATCTGTCACTGGTACGTTCTACCTGAACACTAATTTTTAGAAAATTTGGGGAATGTATTCATTTACGATTTACCATGGCGGTAACAGGAACTCAACTTGATCTCTCGTTTATAATGGTCCCCAAATAAATGTACTACACAAAGTCTACTGGTCTCAAATCTCATGTATAAGGTAATATGAGGCGCCTGACTTATGGCATGTTCAGTCGAAAGGTATCATATCATTTAGGATTAAGTTAGGTCACCCGTTACAACCAAATGACTTTGTAAGTGAGTGTATTCCGCCAATCATGACCAATTTCGGTTCAAAGGGAACATAGGGTTCAGAGAACCTGTGAACTGCGCCTCCCTGGTTAGCCTCGGGAATGGAAAACCAGTTGTGGGTTGCGAAAAATTCTTAAACAACCTTATGAATAACGTGGTCACTGCAGATATACTTTTTGCATTTTGGTTGGTGGTACAAGTGTTTTACTTGTCTAATATTTTTATCCACTTTTAATATATAATTGCGTCAAAATTCTTCAAAAAGTATTTTACCTACAGCTTCTTTGTTATTTCCGCAGCGTGGTATCAAAATGATGGGATCCCTGTTCCTGAAACAAAATGCGATCGGCTCTTTCTTAGTCCTGGCTACTTTGAGAACCTGCCGACCGAAAAAGGGGATAAAGAGAGTGGACGGTTCTTCAGCTACACTTATCCACAGAATATCCCTCCAAACCTCACATGCAAATACTACTTTCTGGGGAACGTACACGAGAGGATCTTGCTATCCTTATATGATGTTGTCCTTCCTGGGCATGAACCGTAAGACGTCGCTGTTAAACTACGAACGCCATACTAGCTAATCGAGTAGCTTTCAGATTAGACTCATACACATATTCGTTGCTTCAGGACTTTCAATCTCAACTTTCCAAAAAGAAAACTACTATTTTCTACGTATTTTTCCTCACGTCTTTCAAAACTTCACAAAATCTGGTTAGGGTCCCACCCACCAAACACTGCTTGCAGCAAATTGACGAGAGCCAGAAATAACTTAGGCCCGAAAAATCAGTGGCTTAAAACCATCATCCGCATGGTGACCCCTGCTGTCTAGGTTTTGGCAATATGGCAGCATCTCATCCCTCGTACTGTATTCGGGTAGGATGGCAACTAGGCACCGGAAGTTTCCCAGCTGAACGAATGTTGATTGATTTGTAATTGTTTTTGCAACAAATTAGTCCTGTACCAAAGCAGGTTGCGGACATTGAATTTTTTTAGATTTTAGAGTTACATGTTAGTTCACTTGGTGAATCCGTTACGCTTTCAGTCATCTTTTAACATTATCTCATATTTTGGGACAATAGAGCAGCAATATCACAACGAATGGACAGAGATTAAAAGTTAAAAGAAACCGTTTGCAGCGAGATGTCTTGGTCATGCTATATGAATTGACCTGTTAAGTTTAGTTATGTTTCTAATCTAAGTGTGGTCGAAATACGGTTTTTGCCATCAAAGTATAAACTATAAGTAGAAAAACCACAATTAATTTCATTTACGGGTAGTCTGACGTGCATTAGTGCATTCTGTCACCGCTTGCGACATTGGCTGTTTTGTATGCATAAACGTATCTCTACCGTTTACCCACAATGGGCGCATTATTCTCATGCAGCAAGTTTAGCACTCAAATAACAGGGATTTCAGGCTGGTAGCTAGTAAACAGAAGGTGACAGTTGTGAATTACAAACGGAGAAACCCGGTAATAAGCCAACGACAACTTGGTCTTTGGATTCTAGAATACAGAACAAGCTTCGTTTCGCTCCGTAAATTTGTGGTTTACCCTGCAGAACAAAGTGTAGAATTAACAACATGGGAGTGATTGGTTATGAATGTCTTGTCCTAAGGGCAACATAGTAATCAAGCAAATGGTACGAAGAATCATTTGTGGTTTACCCTGCAGAATAAAGTGTAGAATTAACAACATGGGAGTGTTTGGTTATGACTGTCTTGTCCTATGGGCAGCATAGTAATCAAGCAAATGGTACGAAGAATTCATCACTGCCCCTCTTATGTAATTGCAGAGATTATGTAGACTATATTTCGTTAGGAAGTCGTTAACTTGTGTTTACTATTGCTGAAACCGGTTAGGTCAAGAGTATGATATTCTTATTTACCCCATTCCCCATGGTGGTGATTTCCAACAATGAAGTTTAGTTTCAGCTGCGTAAATCGTAGTCATATTTGCCCAGGGTAAATAAAATATGGGAACGATGGTCACGGGTTGGAGAGGACGGCCCAGACAGTAAAAAAAACTCTAATTGACAGTTGTTGGCTCCGGTATTTGTAGAGTTCAAATTCGCGTTGATGGTTTGAAAAGTCCTTCGGACGCAGTTATTCTGGTGGGTCCACACCGAAGAATGGAAGCTTGGCTGTGTCCGGATTTGAGCCACGTTAATTCAACTTACGGGACGGGATGTCCCGCCAAGCAACCAGTGTCATGAAGCTGGAGCTTGGGAAACAATATCCTGACAAGCGATTCTGAGTAACTTTATCCTTTTGCAGCTGCCGTGATAGAATAACTTGTCTACCGCATCACTCACTTCGTCCACAACTACAAGGCTTGGGCAAGATCTCACCTAGTCTCGCGGTAGCAGGTTACGCTGTGCTAGTGGTAAGCACATACTGAAACACAGCAGAATTGTTCAGGATATTTAAAGGGTCTGCTCCACAAACAGCGTCAGGATATTTCAGGTTTGTTAACCAATACAATGAGAGTATTTTGATCTCCGAGTTTTTAGAGGCGGGTAAAAAAATTACACCGGCCACTAATTTGAAGGGAGAGGATTGTAGATGGAACCCGATGCTGACAATAGCGAATGTGGTGAATTGAGCCGGAAGCTTTCCCCAGACGTACATGCAGGATGCATGTAGAGCTCTTACAAGGAATCCCACTTTGGAAGGAATGTCAGTCAGCAGCAAACATAATTTCTTACAACTGTAAAGGCCGGAATAAGACTTAAGCTTGAGGAAAAAGACTGGTGGTGGTCGTATGAAGTATAAGTAGTAGTATTCAGAATTTGACGAAAAATGAACACGTGATCAGTGCCAGGGTATAACCGAACACGATTTTCTCAAATCTGACTCTCACAATGATATACTAGCCCAAATGTGACAGAAACAAAACTATCGCTGAAGTAACAGCTACTAAAATGTTGTCTTTCGCTTTTCGGGTGATTTTCTTGAACCCTCGTCAAATAATGGAATTCTCGAGACGTATCAACGTGTCAAGGGTGATTTCACCAAAATTCTCAGACATATGGAGAGTGAATTGTGAGAAATCTGGTTTGGTTTTGCGCATGTTTTTGAAATGTGTGGCCGAATTGAGCTCTTATTTGCGTGTTCCGGAGAAAACAGATACTTACATGAAAAGAGAACATGGTCTCAGTAAGAGATGCAATTTCTCGATCTAAACTAGAACACCAGCGTTGAGAGTAGAACTGTGTACAAGGTTCCTTGAAATTAGAAACACCTTTTCTGTTTCGTTTCATTGTACAGAAGCCCTGATGTAAACGGTGTGTAGACGATTAACATCGAACCAATCAGAACTTTGTTGACGGACTTGCGGGGAAGAACCGGTGAACGAAGGTCTACATGGAATGATAATTCCCGGTGTCTTTGCCAAAACGGAGTTGTTCGAAGCATCTCAACCTAGACCTGTGACGAGAAATTCTAACCCGCAAGGCACTGTAGTACTGTAGAAATTCCACGAGATAATCCCATATTATCAGAAACTCAAAGAATGAGCACTAATGCTTTCGGAATCTTAATATCAAATCAGCACATGCACACCAGCTGATAATGGTTAAGATGAACGGAGGACGTCATCTTGGTAAGGACAATGAACGGAAAACAATCAAGAAAAACTGAGTGGTAGGAAAACGACGTGATAGAACATACTGTTCAAAAAGGTTGCTTAAGCATTACCCATAGTCCATAACCTGTCTCTTCCTTCACGAAACTCACTAGAAAATTGCAGCCCAGAAGTCCCGTCAACTTTCTGTTTTACCTGAAAACGAATTGGGCACAATCGGCAATTTAATCCGCTTTTAACAGGAGACTCAATTTGGTTCTAACTAAAAAACTCGCTTGTGATGTTCTTTGACCGATTAGGTTGCAAAAGGCAACCTTATGTTTGAGCTTAGATGATTTTTAGGATGTCACATTACAGTGTCTATACTGAGCGCGCCATTAACAAGTTTGCTGAATCTTTTTCGATAATACATGGCCATATTAGTTATTCTTAGCTAATAAGACGCTGTCTGGTCGGGAGATGTATCGAGCGAACAAAATGCCACATGAGAAATGCCTTAAACTTCGCACAAATTGCTCATCTTTGAAGTCTATATGTTACCCTACATATGCGACCCCATACAAATTTGGCTAATATACTGCAAGCAACATAACCGATTCTGCAAATTCTAACTTTATATTTAGAACATTCCGTATATCCTTTTAACCAGGTGCTCCAATATTTCCCGTGAAGATTCAATAAGAATTTCGGAATTCATTTTATCCTCATATGCTTCCTCCGAATTGTTATTACTGGAGATTAAGAAAACGCACCTTCAGAAACTCACTCCCCTGCGGGTTATTTGCTCCAACGCAACTGCAGTCCAGATACCCATGAATAAGTCTGGCGCGATATTAGAGTTTGATTCAACGGAAAGCAGCATAACAGCCAGAGGATTTAAAGGACGGTTTCGTTTCATCCTTCAGCGCAACGATAATCCACTCCCATCAGCGGGAATATCAAGCGGTCAAGATGATGACTCCGATTTATCTAACGCTCAAAGTAAGTACGCGTGTTATCACAAAGACTGTGAGTTATCTCCAAGTGACTAACTATTGATGAAAACGTTTATCTGGGTCGACGAATTTCCTACTAAGCGTGATTTAACAAGCGTAGAGGAAACATCATCTGCAGGTAAATCAAAGACGCCAGAAAATACTTTTTTACACGCTGCAATGCACACTCAAGTGCACCATGAGAATTAATTGATTTCATCGGTCGCTCAAACATGATGACAAGCATCACTTAACATTTCTCATGCTCACTCACTTCAAAGATTCAAGTCAGCGCATCCAATCTGAGCTGAGACCGTTTCACTGTCACTATTCCCTGACCAATCGTGCCCAAATAAACTCACATGCTTTAAACGAGTTAAATATTTTTGACAAGTGTATCATTACATCCGAATCAGCCACAAGGCTGTACATGACAAATGCCTAGGAAACCGCATGGATTTTTGTCTCAGCTTGTTCTTTTCGCGCGCACTTGTTGGAATGATCATGTAATACACGTGAAACATGGTTAGAACTAAGTGCATTTGGATTAAGTGCGGAGCCTATATTAAGTTGTCATACGTAACAGTGGTGGAATGTCTTCCAGCCAAATATTACTGAATCGTCCATCAGCTTAAACGGACACAGTAGAGGTCATCCCGACAACGCCCACACTTTACCTTTTCTCCAAAGAGAATAAAGTTAGTTACAAATGACTGGAACTCGACGTTACGTATCAGGATTACTGAAAACCAATATGATAAGACAATAAGCGATCTAATATACAAATTTTTTGCACATACATTTTGCACTTTGAATGAAGAGTTACGTGCACCGGAACTTGTGTATTTGTCTCGCTGAAGTCCACCGATGCAAAGGAAAGGTATATGTGATAGTCGTACAAGGGTGACTAGGTAACAAATGTACTGGCTTTCTCAAAAACGTTTTTAGTCAACGCTTATTCCCAGACGTTTTTATTCGGGAAAAACTTCCACCAGTCGTTCCCGTCAGTTGTTGAAATGGAACTGAGTAATGTTAATTTTTTCCAAGTACTTTGGTATCAATTAGCAAAGGATTTGAAAGATTGTGTCCGCAATGTTAGCTCCGATCTGGTCAAGGACCAGCGTACTAACATGGAGAAAAATGCGACGGAAGTTCAAGCATTCCTCGAAATCATAAGATCACCCTCCTACACCACAGTCATCCAAAGGAAATCGGGTGCATAACACTAGAGCATTTCATCAAGGACTCAACATTTTAGGTTTTTAGCGAATTGGATCTGATGAACTTTGAGAAAAACGGAAACGCGTCATTATCATACTTTGTATTTACTGATTTGTTCACTTTACTTCCAACTTCCCTTCAGAATTATGACGACATTTATCTGTTCTCTGTGCTACCCTAATTACTGGCGTGCTAAAAAGAGAGGACATCCGGGTGGAACAATTAATAGTTCCATTCCGTGATCGGAAGCGGGTCATGTGATCCTCACGCGTGTAATTCACATTCTGACCTTCATCTATTACGTCCAGTAGGTCATGGCAACGAAATGAACATCGGTGTAGGAAATGCTTGGCATCTATTACGTCCAGTAGGTCGTGGCAACGAATAGGTTATCCGAAATGAACATCGGTGTAGGAAATGCTTGGTTGCACTATGCAGTCTTTGGAATATTGGAAATTATCTGGAAACAAACTCGAACATTTTGTGAATGGGGCCCCACTTGAGACGCATACGATATCAAGCAGGATATAATGCGACCAGGAATCGTAATGCGTTTTATTTGAATCCACATGTAATGGTGCATTGTTCTCCTTCAGTTAGTTACACTTCGGCCTTATTTATCAAATCGGATGATAACTTACACTGGTCAATCAAGTAACCTTACAGAGTTAAGTGATATTCTTCACTAAGCGTTCTTCACTGTTGCGAAATCATTCAAAAATCATTCCCAAATTATCCCACCCACTAATTTGAAGTAAAATGGTCTTGTGACATTTATTATTTTATTATCTTTTTATTATTATTTTATTATTTATTATTTTTCGTGTGTAACGGTTTGGTCTGACTTTGTGTCGTCCTTGTTTATTCCAAGTGCTTGGAATGTTCGGCTTGCCGCCTAAACCGAGTTCTAAAACTAGTGACAAATAGGTGTCGAATTTTGCAGTGAAAGACAGACTGCTTTCGTTTCCGACCAGGAGACCGAGGGCGGAAACACTTATACCTGCATGACGGACTGTCTACTTGTTAATTCCAGCATTCGTGTAGGTTTTGTTATTTTTAACTCTTATTGATGGTACCGACTATTTTCCAACAGGTGAGCAGTCATATGGGGCGGAGGATAAACCGATCATCAAAGAGATTTGGATGAACAAAAACCAACGCACTGGATTGATTGAAAGCCCAAACTACCCGGCGCCCTATCCAGCTAACATACAAATCCTGTACATATTTCACATCCCAACGGACACAAACTTGCAGCTGAATTTTCTTGACTTTCGCCTGAGTGATTATTCCCAATCAAGGTTAGTCTTCAAAACATTAGATTCTGAGACGAATGTGTGTTCTGACGCTAACACATTTCCGTGGGCAGTAATTGAGTTTCGCCAGCACCGTTGATGGTTTCTCAAATGGTGAAACGGTTAACCCTGTGAATTGTTACAAAACGGAAAACTGAGGAGCGTTTCAGCATACTGGTTGAGGTTATACTACTTAAGGCAGGCTCGCACAAATGCGGGTTATTCGTGGGTCAAATCGAATCACATGATTCACTGGTATCGTTATACGTGTCTAATGCTTGCTTGCAAGGTCTTGTACCGAAAATTTCAGCAGGCCTTCGGATTCATTGAAAGGGAAACCGGTCATTCGAGTATTACACTCATTTGCAAATCAATTTGGTTTTCACGAGAGATTCAACTGAATCTCTCGTTTATGGTATTCGAAAACTGAAAGTGCTGCACACAGGCCACCTCATGATTCAGTTGGCACGATATTCGATATATCGCAGGATATTTTCATAAAGGAAACTACTCACAAGGTTGCTGAAAACTCTTCGACAGTCCACGACCGGTTTCGCCCTTCTTGGGGCTCATCAGGTAGGCGCAGTCCCCGAGTTTTCGTCAACCTTGTGATCTACTTGAACCCAAATTGCACTGTTTTCGAGGAAATACACTCATTTGCAAATTATTTCGGTTTGCAAAACCAAAGCGAAACGCGTCATTCTTTAATGCGAACCCAGAACTGAGGAATTAAATAGTGTGATAAATTAATGGGCATTTTTAAAACGAGACATGATGTTTTCAGAGTAAATTTCATAGTACGGGCTCGTCAGCAATGAGTACTTTTTTCTAAATACACAAAGATCTTACAGCGGTATGTAACCAGAAACAACACGCTTATGCAACCAATATCCAAAATTTTCTGTGCCCTAATGCGCTAAATTATGAAGTGTCATTCGGAAGATTGATGGAGAATGTGGGCACTGAAATAGTGAAAAGCAAACCGGACCCCTCGGAGCACAGGTGAATGTTCAACTGTGGGCAGCTTTACCTAAATTCCTCCTGCAAAATCTATGTTAATTGTGAAGAATTAAAAAATTGCCAGAAAGCGTAGGGTATTGTAGAATTGGAGCAACCGGGGCAAAGAATCTGACGTCATCCTCAGACTCGGTCATCTGCACATCGGACTACCGTCTTTGTGAAAAACAGCCAGTACCTCGTAGGCACAATGCTGGTCTAAAAGCTGGCAGGGTCTTTTCTCAAGTTACTGGAACCAATCGCTACTGACAGGAAGGTCCACGGTTCCAACTCAGCTTCAACATCTTGACTACTCCTGTGTATGCTTGAGAATTCTCACCTAAGTTCAGCCCTCGTGTTCCCTTCGAATGACAAATTAGTTAGCCAGCGGAAAGGGCTTGACAACCTAACTATTATTAGAGATTGGAAGTAATCATGCACACGCCTGTCGTGCTTCGTGCGTACTGTCATGTTCGTATTAGTCTACTATGTCTTTGGGATGCACATTCCGTACTTAATAAATCATCGAAAAAACAAATTGCTCAAGAAATTAGGTGGCTGAGTAAAATCAGTCAGTTTTACGGGTATTTAGTATTAGTATTTAATCATTAAAATCCATTCAGTCAAATTCACAATCTGTTCTGGTGGCTTTTGGTGCGTCTGAATCACATTTTGACAGCACTCTCATCTCCCATTAACCCCCATCAACTTCTAGAATTGTAGTTCTCTGCAATTTTCCATGCCTAGTTTGCTTGTAAAACTTAAGCTTTCTTGATAGTGTTGGCATTTAGAATAAAATTAGAGTTTAACAACTTGCTCACACGATGGCTATTGAAGTAGTGGCAGAATGCTTGTTCTGATAAAGTGGTGAGAAAAAGGAGCAATACTAAACGTCAAGTTTTCCCAGTGGATGTATCAGAACATTGAACACCAACTAGGGCCACTATTTAGTTGGTTGTGCAAGATAAAGCGAGCTAAGATTAATAAGAGACCTTTCCACGCCTAAGGAAACAATTTGGAATACATGTACCCAAGGAAAACTTGAAACTCTGCGGCAACTCTCAGGTGTGATAGTGAGAGACGATTCAGCTAATCAGTAATACAAATGAGTAACTTATTTTGACCATAAAATCCATCTAAGTACCATCTTTTGCTCTTCATGTATACAGGTGAACGGAACTACTAAATCGATGAGGAAACTGGCTGGTATGGTGTTTCTATTATTTTAGTGGTATGTAAATGGACAGATAAAAGAGGCAACCGATTTGACAGTGATAGTGTGCCTTCACCAGTACAAAGGAAATACGCAACATAAATCTATTTGTCACCCAGGATAATATGCTTCGTGGCCACAGCCACTTGTGCCAGAAAAATGTGTCTGAAGCTATTGTAGGCAGGGCTATTTCACTTTCTATTGCCAGACACCCAACAATTATTTGTTTAACCCACTATGTATGATCGGTGGTGTTTTTCTCATCCCAGCGGAATTAACAACGCCAAACACATAGAAATGCAGCTCGTAGAATATCCACCAGCCAAATGTTTTGCATATAAGTGACAGCGACAACTGTCAGTTAAATGTTCTCACAATTACTTTCAGCAGACGAGTTGGTAGCTGTATAATTTCCGGCCAACACTTACAAGCCATGTCACTGCCGAACATATGGATCGATGTTTCCTCTGGTTAGCCTGAATTCAACGATATGAGTCGAAAATTCCTCAAAAGCGGACCATGCGTACAGTAAAGAACGCAGATCGCTTTTCAGACAGCTGTCTACGACAAAAAACATAAGGCCAAATGTTTTCAGTCGTCCGAGACAATGATAAATTTCCAGGGATGACTACTTACCCAGAGAGCATGCTAATGATTTTTTCTCATCCAAAAGGGCTAAAATGTCGGCAGTTTACAAGTAAAGAAGAGTTCTTTGGGACTAAGACATTCAATCAAAATATAGCAAAACTTGCATTTATCCGTTCTTCCAAAAAAGCGATATATAGTATTGCCGCACTCATCCACACAAGACGAATTTTAGAATTGCTTTCCACTGTGTATCTGTTGTGCCCCTGTGAAGGCGCACTTAAGCTACATATGGGCGACGTTAATTTGCTATTTGACGTATGAACTCGTCAGTTGTGGAGTTCATCTACCTCGTTTGCATTTTATTTTGCGTTATACTCGAGTTGCTTCGAAGTTGCTGGATAATCTTGTCAAAAATTGAAGACCGTCGAGCCACCGTAATCGTAAACGTCCACACGTGGATGTCAAAAGAATCTTCTTCAAATTCTTGCTCATTACTCTGAAATAAGATTTAATTTACTGTTTTAAACAGATCAGACATTCTGTGGTATTGGTAACCTGTGTTGTGTCTGTGCCAAACCAATGGTCCCAAACCAATGGTCCCAATGGCCCCAAACGTCCACACGTGGATGTCAAAAGAATCATCTTCAAATTCTTGCTCCTTAGTCTGAAACAAGATTTAATTTACTGTTTTAAACAGACCAGACATTCTGTGGTATTGGTAACCTGTGTTGTGTCTGTGCCAAACCAATGGTCCCAAATGGTTCTACTTGCTTTTACTTGGGAAGCGGACAGTTCTGACAATCCCGTTTAACTCCAATTATATATATATATATATGGCAGTCCGACTAGGTTGATTCAACGGATTGGTTCTACTTGCTTTTACTTGGGAAGCGGACAGTTCTGACAATCCCGTTTAACTCCAATTAAATATATATGGCAGTCCGACTAGGTTGATTCAACGGATGGTCTGGAGTAAAGTATTATCATCTAGTTAGTACACCTTTCAAAAAACGTACAAAGGGAAACCTCGTTAAACGACTAGCCCACCGAACCAATCCCACCGGTCCTGCATAGATACGCCCGTCGTCTCAGGCCTGATTATTTAGGTGCTTCTAGCGTGCACTGATGGGGTGGTGGTGATATTCTCGCCTCGCAAATAAATTATCTGGAGTTCAGAGCCAGACACAGTCAAGGGTATGCATTGCTAACAAGCTCTTGTAGCATCGAAATTGGAGTACAGTGTTTTTTGTCGCGCAATCACCTAAATAGTTGCGCCAGGGTAGGAGGAGGATTGATCAAACAGGAGTGACAGGAAGTTGAAATTATGCGCATGACCAATTCTACTGAAGAAAGTTAAACCAAATATTGGTACCGAGCACAGGTATTGAATAGGGTCTCAGCAGATGTTTGTCATCACCGAAATGAACATCATGGGATCAATTGAATTGAGACGGCTGACCCATGGCCCATGGTTAGGACTGCCAGCCTTAAATAAGAATCAGCCATCTAAGCATTTCGCTTGTCAAAGTGTCTGCCTAGCATACTTCACAACACGAAAGCAAGACAACCTATGACTGGCCGATCAATACTCATGACTATGACGCCTCATTCATTCACAAACGAAATCTCGAAACCAAAAGACATAATTTAACTTCGCTGCGTATAAAACCTACTCCAGTTCCTTGCAGAGGACTACATCACATGATCGGACAGTTCAACAGTCTTGATTATTAAAATTAGCTCTAGAATATCGACTGTGAGTTTGTATATAATAATCACCTCAGTTTATCAAAATTAGTAATTTTACGCAGTGACAGTGTGCAAACAGTGTTGGTTTCATTTAGTTTTCAGAGAGTCATCTGTATCGGCGGCTAAATAAGAAGCGATAAATCCGTCAACTGTTACCATGGAATTGATAAGGCTAGATTTAAACAATTGCCTTTATCCACAAGAAATAGTGCTCAGTGTAGCCCTGACCCAGTATTATGCACAACTTACGAATTGGACAATCAAAACTCGCCATTTTTTCCGAATTAAAGGTATCCAGTTGTCGGAGGTGATCGTCTGGAATTCTATGAGGGTCCAGCAATAAACAATAAGCCTAAACTCACACTTTTTGGTAACCACATCCCAGACGAACTTCAAAGGCAGTTGTCACCCAAAGACGTTAGCGTGCGAACAACAAAAACCTACACACTTCGCTTCCTCTCCGACCACATTGCAGCAGGGAATGGAAGAGGGTTTCTTCTGTCCTATGAGTACGGAAGCATGAAGATAGATGACGTCATCCCACCGAAAAACGCAAAAAACCTGCCAGGCAGCATTCGCATTCCAAGTGAATTGATCCCATCGCCACACTTAATCAACCTTCCTGGCAACACCGGTATGTTTTATTCTTTTTCACTGGAAAATGTAAATCATTCAAACTCGAGCTTTAACTCCAGTTACTAAGTAAGCATGTATTAAATCGTCCCTGAGGGCTGTTGCTAAGTTTGCGAATTTCCACTTCATTCTTTAAAACCGATGGATAGGCGTCTCTGACTCGGAAATCATATCACAACAAAAACAAACACTCAGGCCAATACAAGTTGTCGAAAGCCTCGCTCTTACACTGGTAACTACCACAATGCAAAATTATTTTTCTGAAGGGTTTGAGTCTGGAGCAGTTGCACGAACTTGGGCAGCGCTTTGGCGGATCTTATGGGCGACAAGTTTATGTACGCACCCATAAGAAAACCCATCTGCAACAAGAACACTTGCATCCTTAATACTGGGAATACTGGAGATTACACAGCTGTTGAATCACTTTTGTGTCCCGCCGCTTGTCTGAGTGTGCTAACCACAGCATGAATACTCCACTCCTGAATTTTGGACTTGGTTTTCGTGTTGCATGCGGTCTTGCGTGCTTGGGTCGCCCTGTATGATGAAGTGTGCAGAACCAGATAGTAGATAGTCAACACTCAAACAAGCTAACGCGTGAAGGCGTCATGTGAATGGTAAGTAATTCAGCGCATCAGTCCAGTGCATATGCGTTGAAAGCATGCCCCAGAATATGCACGCTATCAAAGTGGACCTGGTGGTTTTCAGTTAATTCGTGGAATGCCATATTTGCGTCACGCTCTAGTGCACTCAGTTGCTTGCTTTTCCTGGGGGGGCTAAATGGTGGCGTTGATGTACGTTGATTCAACCAGTCAATTGTCTTGGCTTACCTAACTCTAAAACGGTCACAATCAGTACAGTCTATCCTGTGGACATAGTTCTTATGTTCATCGGGTATATAGGAGACTGCCATACCAACCATTCGCCTCTATAGTGTCATCCATTTGGAAGGCAATATGGCCACTGAAGATGCAGAGTACCAATACTTTCAAATGTGTGCTGCCGATACGGGATTTCCACAGTTTAACCGTAGTTCTGGTCATTTATCTGGACTGAGCGTCTGAAGCTTGTGTTTGAAGAGAACTACTGGGAATCTTAGTTTCGGAGAGGACTGTTACTACAGACCTCGTTCGCTCGATCAGCCGCTGTGCAAATAATCGCTCATCTCATTCTCAGTGGTTAGGCAAGTAGCCATTTGATTGGGTTGGTTTGTGGTGAACTGTTGGTTCAAAGTGTTCATGGGATTTAGAATCAACAGAAGCCCTCGTCCTGTTAGCTGTTTCACGTTCAGCAATGAAGCAAACACATTACCACAGGGTGTTGAGATATGGTAGGAAGTGACTTAGACAGCAGGTCCGTATGATAACAAATCTGTCCTTGACTTTAACACGGTCTTCAAAAAGGACGATCCGGTTAGGGAAGTTTGAAGGTGACAGAGTCCTCCAACTCAGTGCCTTATAAGTAAGCTCATATACATCATCCATCTAGAAAGTGGCTTTTGGCTTTTTCATTGGTAAATTTTACTTCAGCCGATGATGGAATATTCACGGTCAGCGTATCCAGCCAAAGTATGCGGCCATCTGCAGATCCTAAGCTGTCATACAAGGCACATGAGTTCCTTCAAAACGATCAGCATACAAATTCCTGACTTGGCAGCATTATTCACTAGTATCCTATTCGGGCTAACGTGGTCCACTTTTAGCTTGTAGCATTTACTTTTCATTGGACACAGTATTCTGCATTTCAAATGTTTATTTTGGGTAAATAATTCTGGGATCGTATTTTATAGATGATTGTCAATTCACCATCAGGAGTAACGGGCAAGATGTATTCGGTATGGTACCTCTTCCACGGCACCTAACTATGCAAATATTCACATCGAAACAAACCAGAAACGGTTACAACTCTTCCTGTCGTTGGAAACTCCAAGGGGACCCTGGTCAGAGAATCCGGTTGAGGTTACTTCGGCGGAAGGCAAAAGATGCTGCTAAAGGCCCCCAGTTCCAGACTAGCTTTATACAACATGATGAAGAGGCTGGCAGCCGTAGAACATTAGCTCCACAACCTGAACTCCCGGATATAGAAGAGAACCCCCAGCCACCGTTCCGGCAACTCAGGTAACATATTCATTCATTTTAAGTGATTCACTAGAAAGTAGTGAAACGATGATCTATTCATTAAATCAAATAGTTTCATCTATTTGAATGTTGCATTGACGATTTTAGCCTAAGTTTATCAGGAATCTACTTCACCTATGGATTGAGTCTTTGATTCAATTCATCCATTTGAATGTTGCATTGACGATTTTAGCCTAAGTTTATCAGGAATCTACTTCACCTATGGATTGAGTCTTTGATTCAATAATAGAATTATGGGGAAGGATGATGGTAACAAAGGCGTACATCATGAAGGTATCTGATACGTTATCGCTTAACAAACGATAACAATTCTCGTCAAATGTCTCACTAAAAAAGCAATGAACTCCTGCTTGATAACTAATGTTCATGACACAAGTATATGTGTAGAACGCAACCAGTAGTAAAGCCTGGAAAATTTACAATCTATTCAGTACCTAAGAGGTAAAACTAAGTCAGTTTCCTGGTGGGGAAGAAACAGCGGATAAACTGCTATCTCGAGTGCTACAGGATACTTGAATGTACCATTATGGTGTCTGGAGTTTGTCTACATTTTTCTTGTTTTCCATGATAGGGTCGCTAGAAGACTTGAAATCGTTATTACGAGTACAACCGTGCATGCTCTTGTGGTTAACCGGAATTTCGTTTTAGACAGAGTGCACTAATCCTATCCACCTGTCGCAAAATATGCCCACTTGCACACCAATTTGATTTGAACGAGACACTCAGCGGAATCCTACCTCAACTGCTCGTTCATTACATTTTCAAATTATCTTATTACATAGTATATCTACTTGAGGAAATACTACTCATGAGGTTGCTGAAAACCCTTCGACAGCCCACGAACTGTTTTGCCCCATTTAGGGCTCATCAGATAGGCGCATTTCCCAAGTATCCCTTAAATTCGCTTTCTAGTTAAACCCAAATTGTACAAAAGTCGCAGAGTACACTCTTTTATCCGTGAATTCTGTTCAGTTCATTTGGAAATAGGCGGATATTCTTCTACGTCGTAAAACTGCGGGCCACACAAGGAGATGGTGCCTTGGTCGATATGCTCTTGTTGTTGTCTGCTTATACGCAATGGGATTCCCTACATCGTCACTGTTAGACTATTAACAATCCAACCAAGTAGCCCATCATCATGTACTCCTTCCCTGGGTCAGACATTGCCTTGAAACCATTAGGTACCCTTCGATGCCAAGAATAGGCGCTTGACGTTGTTTGACTGTCAATCCTCTCTGTTCTGCAGCAAGGCGGGGATGCACTTATGAACACTTATGACTCCCGCAGATATCAATATGCGCACCAATGGGCTGTCCGCTTACGGACATTACTTACCATGTGTCCCAATTATGGACAAGTTTGAATGCCCTAACGTCTAATCTGGAACAAGAGTTGCACAGTGCGCACTGACGCGAAAAATCCAGATATTATTGTTTGAAAAACATTTACCGCAGGCCTGGTGAAACTACTATTTAAGACATGCGGAACATGCTTGGTCTCCTCTGCTAACTGATAGACTCGCTATGTTGCTTTTTCACCTAGAGGCTTTTCTGCCGACGAGGTATGATGCCCCACACGTGTAATTGATGTTAACTAACAAAAGCGCAGGGCCAGTCATACTGGTCTTTCAAACGGATTGGATTTGTTATCCCACAAGTTCAAAGGTGGCATTAGTTTTTGTAGAGTTCAGTTTCGGTTGCTGTTATACATTTTATAAGGTACGTGGTATGCCAAAATATATTGAGATACCCGGTTTTCTTCATTCGATTTGGTGCCATTCAACTACTAGGAGAGTTTCCCAATGCATTATGGCTGGTGCTTAAAACTCGCAGTATCTAAATAGAATCACAATGTACTGAGCACAAAAAATGAGTACATATCGGTGCAAACGACCTCTATTGATATACATCAGTTACATGTCATTTCTACTCAATTCTCGACTCAGTGAACGAACAATTCGGCTTTCTTTTTCATCATACGTCCACGACTCCTATTTTTGGTCAGCACAATGTCTAAAAGACCGATTTAACTATGAATACGCTCCAAACAATTGCGAAAATGCTTTTTGCCTGTATTTTTGTGCCGGAGAGCCTGAGAAGTGAGTATGTTCCACGTGTATTCCAGTCAACTACAGAGGTTTCTTTCATTCTATGTGTTTTAAACCTGTTCGATGCACTGGACCAAGCTTGGCCTCAGCAACTCTTGCTCTGCTGGGTCGCTTATGGTTTACGGCAAGCCCTTGAATTGTCCCAGAAACCGTTTACAAAAGTTTCTGGTCGATCAAACAATTTAGCACTGAATAACTTATTTATTCCAGCGTGTAACTTTTGTAACCTACCAGGTGTACCAGATACTTGGGATCCCTCTCTCAGATGAGTTTGGTGACTTGTTTACGCCCGTGACGTGGATGCGATTTACCTGTGGGTGAAAGTCACCGCAAAAGCACTGTGGCTATCATTAAGAAACCTCAGTGTTTTGCCCGGCGAGCATCGTACATGTCTATTGTAGATCGGTTGCAGCTATCGACCGGAATATAGAACAGCTATAAGAGCTTTTCCAATTTGGCTAGCAAAACTATTTTCGAGAGTTGTTTCATACCAAGTTGAAATTTTTCACAATCTCGGTCAGGTCTCCATGTATAACGTGTTGAAAGTTTGAACATGCTACGTTGAGTAGGAGGGGAAAATCCCGGAGCAGCTATAAACTTAATGGCTTTCGGTGGGATAAGCTGCCAATCGACGTCATAGCAGAACAGAAACAGTGAATATTTTCAAGAGAAGATAGAACATAGTAGGCGGGAGCGAGTAATTCAGTGACCGATTTGAGTGCCAACATCAGCCGCGCGTAAACCTACAAATCGACCGCAGTTCACAATGAAAAGTACGGGAGTTGGGAGTATACTTCTCTGCAAAATACGACGCTGCACCTAAATCTGATATAGAATACCAATGTGAAGCAGCGTGTATGGACCAAAACGAGTTTCTTCCAGACAATCTTGATCTAGCATCTTATCTCAGGTATCTTCCTAAATCTACCGATTTAATTCTCCTGGGTTTTTATATTTTTAGATCTTCTCCAACCAATTTCCAGACTTATTACATTCTACATAGCTTAACCATCTTTAACCATAAGAGGTTGATGGGGGAGATACCATCGATAAAATTGTTCACGCCATTTCGAGGTGAACATAACGTTACCACCTTAGGAACTAATATCTTAGGCCGTATACTGTGTGTATCATGGAACTTCCATAGGACGATGACACCTATTTGCTGTGATACAGAATAGAATAGGTAGGCATTTCTTCAGCGTTACGTTCAAGGAAGGAGTTATAGCTCTAAAACGTGTGTAACAGTACAACTGACCCAGATATAAACATTTTCTCAATTATATGTGCATGTTTAGCTTAGTCCAGGTGAAGAAGGGTAAAACCACCACTACAACTACACAAGTAGAATCTTGTCTTGCTTGCAAAAATCCTTCTAACAGTAGGACCTATTCTCCCTGGTTTCTATGTACTGGTGATGACAATTTATTTTTGAAAATTTAACCTTCACTCTTTTGGTATCTCTTTCCCTAACGAATATTCTAACGTCTTTGTGCAATATTATTTTAGGTGCTCAACACCCCTAACTGTGGAACTGATAAATTACCTTCAGGAAGGTAGAACCAACGCCAATCCTGTGCATCTTCGATCAACATCGGACACGGCGGCTTTGATCGGATCTGCCCACTTCGTGCAGAAAGACCGCCAACAATCGTCGTTAATACCATCAGATCCAGTGTTTTTTTGCGCTGATGAATCAGCCATGTCCTCGCCGGCTGGAAAGGGCTTCATGTCCGGCCACATACCCAGAATGGATATTGTCTTACGAGTAAACCGAATGATGGCGGGCAACAAGCCAATCAAAGCTTTTGAAACAATTCCACATTTACCCCCAGATTTAGATTACGATATTGAATATCAGTTCGTCACCGGTGAGTGGTGAAGTTTTGGTCCATTTTTGATACATTCCGTGAGTATTGCTTATTTACTGTCGTAGAAATCGAATCCACCTTTGGATGCCAAATTTTTAAATGCCGTTCGTCTGCTGTTTGTCATGTAGATCGACTGAATCATTGTGGCATTACAAGGAGTTGCAAATCAATTAGTATTAAACCAAATTATTATATATCCTGGATATAACTAAATTATTCATGACAACATAAAACCTAAATAAGCGTATTGATGATAAAGTATGATACAAGTCCAAGAGATTCTCCCCTTAGATAATCTATCCATGTATTGAAAAATTATTTTCACCGAAATAAACTATTTTCGTGTAAAACTTATGACTAGCTTATATCCTTAGTGATGCCTTGAGTCAAGTTCCTCAAGTATAAGCCCGTTTGGGTGAAAATTATCGAACTCTTGGGATCGATACCCTTTGATCTATGTGACAGCAATGCATGGTGCCGACATTTTTAGTAGGCCACGAGGCGAAAACTTTCGTAAAAGCGCCATGTGTAAACCACACGTAAACCAAAACTATCCATATGTAACCCAAAACTATCCGTCAGATTTAAATTATCCGTGCTGTTAACAGGTTGAGAAATCCTCGTAGTTCCGTATTCGCTCGAAAAAAAACAGAGAAAAAGGACGAATTACTCATAATGTGGGACAGAAAATTTACATTGCTGAATGGTGCATATTGTTACGAAGTTCGGTAGATCAAGGAAGCTTCGTTGGAGGTTGCTTGTCTTGCACCTCAAATGGCTTAAATTCAAGTGGTGCGTTCAATGATGTCGTTACTTTATCAGTTGTCAAAAAATAGACAAAAACGCTAAAATCTAATGCAATTCACTCATGAAATACATAAATCCCGCAAGTTGGCTTTCTCTCTCGTCAGATGGGAGAAACTCAGCAGGTTACTACTTACTTGAATCGAGTAATTCAAGTCTCAATGACACCAAATCCTCCGTAAGTATACGTTAACCTAGCTGCGCACATTACTTGGAGAATGGAATATTGACTAAACTTCAAAGTTCCTGCATACTGTCACCAAAAAGGATAATTTTACAGCGGTAGGTCTATGTTTGTTTTCAAGACGGTATCCATTTGACAAAAGTTTGTCAGTTACGCACTCCCAACGAACTCCACCCGGGGTGTAATGCGCTACGTTCCGTATTACGTCGAAAACTTGATGAACAATTTCAAATGGACCCTAATAAAAACTCGTGTCCAGAATTTGCGTGTTTATAGTTGTCAGGTGACAGTAGTTTTTAGTGCAGCGTTCGTGAAACTACTCGGTCGAACACCGAAAACTGCTAACTCGATAGATGTCAGTAACGTGCTGGCCAGCATCCTTCGCAGTAAAGTTGTTCGAATCGTCGTATGTGTGTGCTCCTAGACACTGAGCTACGTGAACTATGGGCGTATGACTGACAGCTAGTGACAAGTATCTATTCTAAGAAATATATCCGAGGACAATATTATGTCAAGCGCTCACTGCCGAATAACCTTTAGTAATTCAAAAGCCGTCTACCAACCTAAAGAGGTCTTCTGTAGGGTCCAATGTTTCTACACAGACAGCTGTTTGGAAAGAAAAGCAAGAAACCTGTCAAGAATTTATTCCTTCAGTAATAACACCCACTGGTAGCTTTATCATCTCATGTTTGTTTGTAAGAGAAATTTTTCCACATTTAAACGGATATTTTACTCTTTGATCTACAAGCGGTCAAGTGCCAGAATTTTCCAACCAAAGGATAGCAAAGCAGCGTATAAAACTGCAGTCTGTCTTAGAGGGAGGAATATCGTTCGCGTTTGATATCCATCATTATGATACGCCTGATTTGAAAGATTAAAGCTGTCTGGAATTGTATGCGCTTCCAAGGGAAATCAAAACGACAAAATAGGGATTATAGTGAGAATAATACTTTAAGCGTTTGGGCTGTTTTTTTCATATTGAACTCTCGAGATGTAATGCAATTTGTGTCTGTATTTGCTTTCCACGACTGATGCCAGATTCTGCTACAAAGGAAATACGGCATATGATTCTGATATGCTCAACTATAGTTTTACGTGGGGGAAACAACTCACGAGTCTCATCAAAGGTGGTTTCTTCTTAGGGTGGTAACACTATCAAAGTAACTGAGCCAATGAAGCAACCTCAAATGGTATTCTATGGGTGATGTCTTATTCATATGGAATAGCTATATGTAATGAGCAAATTTTCTTGTGAATAACGCAAATTACGGCCCACATGATCAAGTGTATCGCTCAACAAGAACCAGCCACAAATATGCAACTTGCTTTTTGGTGCAAAACCTTTGTGTATCTAGTTAACAAACTGTGCGCAGGATGTTCTTCACGATGCCATTGTACCAGGCAGAATGCGTTATTGCGGAATTTCGCTCATTTCGCCAAGGCTCTCAAGCCCATCAGCTACTTACCCTAAGCCTAAAATTGTGGTAGTTATTACCTATACTTACCTGCGCAGCAGTCTCCCGCTAAGCTGTCCTGCAGAAAGAAAGAACGCACTCTGGCGCTCCGTCTCAAGCGAAAAGCGAACAAAGCGATTGTGATCAACCGATTTCGAAAGCGAATTACTCATTTGCATACAGTTAGGAAACTCATTGTTCGCAGATGAACTTTCAAACCTTTCTGGATAACATTTGTCTTAATAACTCCAATGGAAGAACATATTCCAATAGGTCAATAACTTGCGAATTAACTAACCAGTAACTGCATTTGTATTGCATCGAACTGCAGTCAGATAATACAGGTGTCATTGGTAGCATACGCAGTTTCAAAGGAAACACCATCTGCATTTCTCTAAAATGTTGTTATGTATTCATTCATCAACTGCGAAAACCGATAAACATGGGATTGCTTCCAACGAACAGCAAAAACTCACCCCTCCCCCAAATAGTCTACAACAATCACCACTGACTCTGGACTAATAATACCCATTCAGACTGAAGAGAACAAATCATACTGAAGTAAAACTTATGCATCCCCATCGTGTTGTACTCGAAAATAATCTCCAGCTTTCCAACCGCCTCAACTGGAATCGACACTGGGTGACATTTAGTTTGGATTTTGTCCCCCTTTATTTTAGGACGCTTAGACTTGTTTGTTTTCGCATTGCTGTATTACAGTTTCAAATAAATCTTGCTGTTAGAATTTTCTCGGTTAATGACGCACTTGTGAAGAACTGAACTGACGAGTCCAGTATTATTACTTTTGAAAAATGTACTCCATCCCTTGCCCGAACTGAAAACTACTGGATGCTATATTTGGTTTGTAAAACAGCAGGTCTTTTCCGTTTAGTCTTTCTTCTAGCCCCGTATTTTGTTGAGTAGGATCAAGTTTAAAATTATTTTTATCAAAAAAACGCTTTTGAACGGTAAAGTATTGATATACAGGTAAAGCTTACCCTTATAGCAATCATATCGATGCCGACAATGCTAGTGTATTGTTCTGTTGGATCTACACATCTTTTTAACGTGTGATTTCACCTAAGTGTACCCTCTGATGGTTATAGACAAGTGAGTTCTTGAAAGTATCTCCATATTCATGTTCGGTTGCGAAATAAGACAGATAAAGCACCCTTCGTTTGAAAACAGACGGAAGACAGGGATAGAAAATGGTTCTATACTGGGCCTGATAGTTTGATATACGACACACTGTTGGATATCTAAAAAAACATCCCGATAGAAACCTCTGTAAAGGGTGGATGATGACATAAATAGTGCATTTCATGGGATCACTCTGTGGAAACTCAGGAGTTTCGAATGAATATGAGAATTTCGGGCACCAGTCTCTACTTAGCCTTTTGGGCTTCCTCATGAGGCAACAGACACAGGTAATGAAAACTTTATCATCAGCATATTCAGCAACCGTCAATCTGTGCACGCCGCACGGTTAACGAACCTGCCATTCTAACAAACTAAGGTGGTATCGAAAACGTCCAATTGCTGCGAAGGACTGAAACACGCCTAGTTTATAGTCAGCCCCCATGAGTTTGGGGTAAATTTGGACTCGATGACCAAAATGGATGGCGCGACTGTCTGTCGGAAATTTTTTCTAAACCGCGATGGCCGATGGTCACTACTTCACTGAAGAAAGTCACTGTCCGTTTTCCATTCTCTGCCATCAATTTGGGGTGGATCACCTGAAGATATGTCCACATGGTTTGGTGGTCAATTTTCTTGGATATTCATCGGATGGTAGTTACGTCCTTCAAAACAAATCAGTCCAGAGAGACATCAATAAAAAATATTCTTCCAGGCCTGCGCGCTAGTTCAAATGAGTCTTCAAGAAAAAGTACAGGTTGGCCATAAGACCAGTAAGGCTTCAAAAGTTGTGCTAGTTAACTTGTTTTATGCAGACCACTAGATTTCAGATGAAGTGGTTATTCATCGATTTGTCTGTACTTATCTACCACTAAGTAAAATAAGCTAGCGTGATTTGATGGTTGGTAATCTTAAACCAACGTCCAATCACACTCTGTTTAAGTACTCTAGAACCACACTATTTGACAAATAGCTGTAAGAGAGACGATGATGTTTGACTGCCCAGGACAAGCAGTGGGCCTTGTATAATGTCGTTCACCGCGAGCCAATTACTAAAATGGTAATAAAAAACGAGTGGTTTGTTTTGTGTCTTTGTCCACAACCAGTATTTTCCCATCTAAACTCCGGGCTAAGGGACAGCCCACAAAACAGCGACTTGTTCAAATAACGTACCTGGTAAACCACCTTACCCGACCCGATGGAGCAGACAGTAAGCAACAGAATTGTTACACTTCATGTCGAACATAAATTCGAACATATCACCGTTCTTTCATCAGAAATAAGGTTACACTTTAAGCGAAAACTTGCTTCTTTTATTCACTTCTTACTTTTTGACTTTCTGATTATGGTTACGCTTGAGGAACCTAGTAATAGTAATTATATCGGACACAATTACTGCACCACCGAAGCACCAACGAAG